TGCATCGCATCGTACGACCTCAACTTTCATTCGCGTACGCATCGCGTGCGGCTTTTTTTCGATTTCTCATACGGTGTATTTCGAATCAATCAAAATGATGCACCGTCCACTCGACATCAGTTGCGCGTGATCTCACAGAAATGAGCTGTAGATTACGGAAAATTGCGCGTATCCCTGTTTCATTTCGGCTTTCGCACTGAGTGTCCCAAGTATGGCTTTTTTAATTTACAATTCCGTCGTTCATTTCGACGAGAATTATATCGAGATACATAATACAATTTATTTTAAATACTTTGATATTGAATTACGTGTGCAATCTGAAAACATTCTGTAAATTATTATTCTGAGAAAAAAATCGAAAGACAATGCAACCCATTTTACACACTTCGATATTGAATGTGAATTTTAATATGCAATTTAAAAATTTATTCTGAGAAAATGATTATTATGAGAAAAAATCGAAGGATAGTGCAATTATAAGTACTATTGATTACGTAACGTAAGAAAATTTATTCTGAGAAAATTATTATATTACTCTGAGAAAAAACCTCTAAGCACGATATAGTATTTAACGAAGTATGTCGACGGAATTAATAAGTTAATTATTCAATGTGCAATCTTCGATTATGCATCCTCGAAGTTTACTATTAGAAAAAAAAAGAAACGGGAGGCTTACATATTATCTGCTACCAGACGAACATCATTGAGTCGCACAGATCGTAATGGTGTTAGAACGCGATCTTACCGAATCATTACGTGAGGTCACGTGTAAAGCTGTAATATCATACAGCTGATATCTGCGAGCAACAAGCATGTAACAAGACAGTGACTCTAAAAAAGATATATTTTTGCAGTTAGCAGATAATATGCGAGGCTCCTTAGAGCCGTTTCCCCCCCCCCCTTTCGTTTATCGGTTGGAAAGGGAGATAGCCCGAGGCTGCGAAGAGACGACGCACGCCGCGCCGATATGGTTATAAAGAGCGGTGTAAAGGACCTATAAGTATCCGAGGCATTAAGGATTCTTAACCGCCAGGTGAGGCATAAACGACGCCCCGAATGAATTTCGTTACCGATCGGTAATGAGCCATCGCTCGGAAGCGCGAGTGTGAGGAGTTTATCACGGGGCTAATTGAGTGAGCGATTACCGATACATCTCCGCTCGCGTCCCTTTGCCACTGTCGTCGTGTCGCACAACGATTTGCGTAATAGTCCCGGTCACATTCACTGAATAGCTAATACATCTGCATGTCCTACGCGTACAAGACGTAATTTTCGAGCAGTCAAATTAAGCGATCTCGCTGCTTGTTACGGCAACACTTTGTATCAGGGAACGATAAACGTCAATAAATAATTTAGAAATTATTAATATATGCATGAGTTGCTCAAATTCCGAAAGTATATTAAAAATGGAAAAAATTTTCGCGTTCGGGAATATTTCTTATAAAACGCGTTTCAATTTGATACTTCAGTGTTTTATAGATTTGCATATTTAAGCATTCCTTTAATTCGTCTGAAATATACGCGATTTCATCAAAAATTAATATATATAGAGGCACAATGGACAATTGTTTGGGTGCCGCGGGCGGTGCTTCGAAAGAGGAACGCCCCCCCGTTATGTTATCTTATCTTATAAATATATATGTATACCATTTCTTTTTAAAAATTAAAGTAATAATTTGGTGGTAGTGAGATAATTTATTTAAATTTCGTTTAATTAGCAATTCGAGGCAGCTGCAAACTTTGTTAAAATAAGCTAAGAAAAATAAATCAGTATTAAAATAATATTATATAATATTCGGTATATGTAAAAGTGTAGTAAGTTTTATAATAAAATATAAAGTTTCGAGAGACTGCTTGAAAATAAAATTGCCTAACGGAATGCTAAATATGAAATCATCCATCTTTAGCAAAGTCCATTAGTTATGGCCAGTGTCTCGTAGTTAAGCAACCACTATTCTTCAGCAGAACAAGATCAAATTTCTACTACTAGATTCTCAAGATTACCAAAGTTGTCGGCCTTGCCCGATTGAAAAAATGATCTTATTATAATAAACGTTTACACAGGATTGCTTCTTCAATTTCTTTTACCATAAATTTCGCAACGAAGTAGTTGTTTAAACTATGTTACGAAATTTATGATAAATATTATGATTCATCATTGATGCGTACTTGGTATACGAAGCAGACAGTTTTACGATTATGTTGGAAATTGATGATCCGGATGACGATGCAGGAATTTTAAATTTTAAGTTCTTTGCTCACGCATCGACGTAAATTCTCGCATAAACATAATGCACCTGAACTAAACGGCTTCCTTTACTGCTAGCAATTTCCACGTCAATGTTAATGTACTAATTAAAGTGACATTACACGTTACGACAATGATATGCTTCGAGCTTATAGCCTTCTTCCATTCAGCAGGGCTGGCTGGTTTTACTCGTAAGTGAGTTCTTTAATGCAAATTTCGTAAAAGTTGAGTGAAGGTTTTCACACAAAATGATTCGAGATTAAGTGAAAAAAGAATTTGAATACATAAAAGGATATGAATGGATAAATGCCGCGGGTATTCAACGCACGATTTCCATTATTTGAATGACCTATAACTATAATTAATCTCACATTTTATCTCAAAAGAAATATTAGAAATTGTGCGCTCTTTATATTTTGCTTCGATTTCATCGATCTATTTTAAAGTCTCTTCAACAAACGTTAAATCGGTTAATGCGTTAGGTTTCGGCGGCGTACTAAAAATGAAACTAGTGTCACACTCGTCGAATGTTAACTCTGCAAAGCAAAAAAAAACTCATTTAAAAATCCATTCTACAGATCTAATTCCGCTTAACAATCCATTTTAGATCAAAGATGCGATTCGCTCATAGAAAATTAATTGACACAGGAATCATTTACGGCTAACCGGTAATAAATCTCAAACGAGCGGATAAGTCGAACGCTCCACTTTCACATTGATCGTTAGGTCATTTTTTCCCGTCATTTTAATCTGCGGCTTATTGCATAGGGCAAGTCACAGCAACTGTAATTAAAAAATCGGCCCTAATGCTTATGCATCTCCTTGAGCGCCGCTGTTGCTCTGTTCAGCAGTTTTTTATTAAGTAATTAAGGACTCGCGCCGGATGATGATGCCGAAATCGACGTTTCGGGAATTTTTTTAGGGAGGTGCAGTCGTAAAAATTAAATCGACATTAAGGGGATACATCCGCGCCATGTACTGGTTACAAGAAAAAAAAATTATTCAAAACACGTACCATTATAATGAAAGCCGATCAGATTATCGCAGACGATGAATAAAAGATTCCTTTAAAATGCGAACGAGATATTAAAAAGGTATTATATCTAAGAAGAAAAGATCGCGATCTGTGGACACGCTGTTTTGAGAAGCATACGGTATCGGTCATTAATTCATAAAAAATTGAGTTTCTCGTCGTAAAAAATTTATATAATCCAATAGCTCTAATAATAACTCAATTATTTTTAGGATTAATGCATATATTTTTTCTTTTTGTTCTTTTTATTGTGAGAGCTGTTCGAAATACTTCTATAAAGTATTAGCTTATACAGATTACTTTTAACGTCCAAAATTTCATTCTTTTTTTATTTACGAGGAAATAATTTTTTTTGCATTTGTATGTTGAATCGAGGAGTCTTCATAAATCTTAAGAAGTATGCGTCTAAATCTTACTCTCGGAATATAAATCACTAATTTTTTATTTGCTCGCGCAAGAATGTCACCTCCGTCACCGTTTTGTCGAGTCGTTTCTCGTTTTGTCGTTTCGTTTCTTCAAAATGATGACTGCGCATATGTTGTATCCACTAAACCATCGGGACTTATCGATCAAATCGATTAAAAAAAGCTAGTCACATTACTTCAAACAAACGCGAATGGTGAGGCGAAACCCGTTAACACGATAGTCGATCAATATATCTCGTGGCGAGGCTGTTTAGTTGAGGTAACGAGAAAGTTTAATTATGAATGCGATGTTAATTGATGCGGAAGGTGGATTCACGCGCCATTTGAACGTCGAACTTATGTCGTTTCGCAACTCCTCCCCCCCCCCCCTCTGAGCTTTCAACAGGCTCGTTATGTATGTATGCGTTATACGTAAAAATATATCCGCCGGGCGCGTGGTCATTAAAACGGTAGGTAATCAATGCGGCTCGCGTCGGCGTTTCGTCGTGAAATGAGGATGTATCCATGCGCCCGAAGCACGCCTGCGCGTGAAACTGATCCACGAAAGCTGATAACAATCTGCAATAAAAACAAAGTCACATCCCGATTAACAACGTACAGGTGGGATACCGTGGGACATTGCCTTCCCTCTTTTATTCCGCTTGCGCGATAATTTCGTTCCGGTATTAATAGCCGTTGCTAATGGAGGAATAAATACGCTCGATCGAACACGTTGGTTGTTACAGTTTCGTTTTTTTTTTTCTTTGAAAATTTTATTCGGAGCCTCTAGATAAAAAAAAATCGCGGATAACTTACACGGATCGACGTGTTTGAATCATGTTCGCGCGCACCTTTTTTTTTTTAAATCGCCATATGGTTTCGCCACCGGATAACTGTTCATTTTTTAACAGGGATTTATACGGCTGTCGAGGACGTTTATAGAGAATCCTCCTCTCACTACATTGGATGTATATAATTTTAGTTGTCATGTTGGTGTTTATTGCATTTTTTTTTTTCATTTACGAATTCGCGAATCAATTTTAAGTTTTGATTGAATTATTTCTGTCTTTTAAAAATATTTTTATTTTGACATAAAAATTAAATAAAGTAAAATAAGTGTAAAACATTTATCGCTAGTTAACAATCAGCAAATATACCGTACATTGGTGTTGTTAATCTTTTAAGATAAACATTGATATCTAAGCAGTGCGATAATTAGTGAAATCTCCTTTTCCATGCCGTTCTGGGCAAGTACAAAGCGTCCGCGCATTCGAGTGGAATTTTTTCGTATATTTATTAGAGTTCTCTGTAACAGGTGTCTGCAACCACGGCACGGTTGCGGTGTTCCGAGTGACTATACGAGTGGCATGCGTGACATTCCGCGAAGGCAAGAAATGGTTAAATCTAACTTACAGACGCCGCGGAAGTCTGCACTATCCTGTCGGATTCTGTCTACGATGGCACGGAAATTATGCCGGCGGCGCGTTCTCACAGGTAAGATATTCGCCGTTCATGCTTCACGAAGCGTCTTGTAATGTTTATTTTCTTTTTGTGCGGCGTGGAAACGCGCGGCAATAAAATTTTGTTTCATATTTACGCGTGAATATCTAGTTAAAATTTAAATTTGACATCGATTAATTTTGATCAAGATATGATAAGAGGATTTCACATAAAAAGTATGAATCTCTTTATAAGTAAAAAGTTAAATTATAATTCCGGCTCTAATTATTATTCAATAATACTATAAAATAAAAGCTACAATTTTTACACAAACGTATCTGCAAATATTGTAAATATGTTTGTGTAAATACAATATTATTATTAAATGAAAAGGAGCAATTACCATTCGGCTCGGCTCGTAATAGCTTTTATTTTATGGTATTATTGAATCTCTTTATGATATTTCAGAAATATTTCGTAACAGAGATTTCGTTTTCATTTATTTTATGTATTTTATGTATTATTTTATGTATTATAAAAAATATAATCATACTTGTTTATTCTTGATGTACGAACGTTTACAACGTTATTGTATTCGAAGCAACGGTAAATTATGAATCGCGATGAAGGTAGAATTCATTTGGCAACTTATGCACGCATGGAGAGTATGCACTCCTCTTGAAGCAGTCACAGGTATCTTTTCAGTAGAGTTGCGTTTGAAGCACGTGTGTCGGTTTCATTGACATCTTACGCGGATAGAGAATGCATATTCCAAGAAGACAGGCTTTTCTGGTACAATGATGCACAACTTGCATTCTAATTTTGATTATGAAAATACATTAAAAATTAAGATAGATCGGCGAATTAAATTGCAATAAGTATTGTGTTAATTACAACTTTATGATTTTTTTAACAATTTAATTTCTAAATGTAAAACAATATTAAAAATTATAACAAATAAAAAAGATAATGAAGCTTTTTTATTCTCTTAAAATTTAAGTTTTGCAAAATTTATATTGAACATTCAGAAATTTTGAAATGGCAAATTTGATTAAGTATTTTGCTAAGGAAAAATAACTTCAAAATTTCAATAAAAATGATACCTTACATGTACTATTGCTCTTGGAACATTCCATCACGTTCATTCGCAACGTTATTATGAAATAGTCCCGTTTGTCTACTGTCACGATTCAATAAATCGTTCGATTTGTAGTTCGCCGCCTGCTAATAAAGTGCAATTTAGCGGTTGATTGCAAGAAGCAAATTGTGCATCACTAGCTGCGGTACGTGACACGCCACAAACTGGTCGGTGATACAATACGGGTATACAATCTTGGGCGTGTATTCCTCAATTATTCTCCGCTACGTACGCTAACTTATTTGACATCGGTAATGCGGCCTTAGCGCTGCAGCTAGAAAACAATAGTGGAGCCCAACATCATAGAGATGCTGCTCCTTCAGTCAATCTACGAAACAATGATTGGTCAATGAAGTTGCGCGGTGAAATGGACATAGCGGTTCCCGAGCGGACATTATTGTTAAACAGTCAGTAAGAAACGTTGACTACCAGTTAAATGATACTGTTGACAACCATAGAAAAAGACAATAGAGTACAGTGAACGTCACCATTATTTCTTTACGCACTTTACGAACTTTCTTTACGCGTTTTCTTTTTAATCAACTTCCAGTAGTGTATATTTTACGCATAAATCACGTTTGCAGAGCATTCTTATGCGAGAAAAAATCCATATAAGATATTCCAGAATTGTTACTTTTTTTTATTCATGAATTCTGCATGTTCAACTGATTTCGCTCAAAAAATTCGGAGATACGCAGTAAATCAAATCATTTTATCAATGACTTGATAAAAATCACTATCAGAGTACACCTATTGAATATCTTCTCGGGATTATTTTTTTGCTGCGTAAGTTGAGCTTTAATTAAATAAAAAAAGTATTAGATATTGATAAGTCCACTTTATCAAATCTTGATCAGCATAATTGATATCTAGGCGTGACTAATTCAACGTTCATCTTCGCCGGTGTACGATTTCTAAAGCCATAACGGAATAAGTCTATCGAAATATTTATCGAAAATTAATTACGGTGCAAATAAGCTGAGGTCGTCGATATGGGCGTAATTAAAAATTTCCTTTTCACCGATATTAGCACTTTATTACATCGGCGATCGAGCCGTGGCGAGCAACGGCTCGCGCGCGAGCGCGCGCGCGCGCCCGCAAGCGGACTCATCGAGCCATAGTAAAACTCACTACGCCGGCGTAATAATGGTCCATTAATTAATATTTATGCCATGCCCACGTGGCCATGACGCTTCCTTTGCGTATATATTAATTCTAACGCGGTTGTATCCGCATTATTCACGCTCCGCGTCTTATTAAGGCCGCGATCGCGGCGCTTTTCGCAGAAAGAGAGAGACCCGGCGTTTTGCTATTGGAGGCACGTCTTCTCGTCTATGGATTTAATAACCTTCGTTTTGTCGATGCGTATCTCCGCCTGAAATAACTTCATCCCGCGAGAGCATGTTGCTCCCCCGCTTTTTACTCTCCGATCATAACGATTGATTCGGTTACTCTTACATAAGCCTCATTGTTGAAGTGTTTCCATATAAAGTTCGGCAGAAAAACTTTGTGGAAGTATATGATAGATAAAAAATAAAAAAATAATGAAGCAGTAACTGATTCTAAATTGGACAGTTCACAACCGCTTTTCTTCTCCGGCTTTCGATAGATATCTATGATTCGACGAATGAGAGGTGATGTGATTTCTGACACTCTTCGCGCGGCGAAGGACAGAAGAATTAAGTTTCCGCCTTAGAATTTGAGCAAATTTATTTATCGGGACTAATTACGAAAACTCATTTGTAGCCGCTGATCGAGATAATGAGCATGTTCTAAGTATTGCATAATAAACAACAGCGAGCCGCGCGTATATAGCTGTGCCGCAATTACACGCTCACCGCGGTGTGTGCGTGCCGCGATACAAAAAAGCGTACATATGCGTGTTCGTATTGATCATCGCGCCGTGACGTTCGCCTTAATATGGCCGATTCCTCGGTTTTTACGAGTTCTTCCTCCCCTACGAAAGCGGATACAGACGAAGAAATATAAACTTCCGCGCTGTGAATGTAAAGCGAAATAAATAAGGCGCAGATTAATTCTACAAATTAAGTGTTTATTGTTAAAAGAATCATATTGCAAAAAAAAATATAACTTTTAATATTTGAATGTTTCAGAATAAAATGCACTAAAGAAATAACTAATAAAAAAATGTCTTAAATTATTCTTATCAAAATAGATTTAAAAAAATACATAATAATATATAATAAGAGAGAGAATATATTTTAGATTAAACAAATTTTTACTGATGACAGAACGAATCGAAATACGATCGTAAAATACTGCGTGTATCTCCGTGTACATTGCGAGCACACCTGCTAACAAACACGCACACTTTCCGTTTCGACTAATCTAATCTCGATGTAAGTGTGTGCTTTATTATACCGCGGCGGATACACGAAGGTGTGGTGCGCACATCGACTAGAAAATGAAAGGGGTTCCGCCGAGAACGATAGCGAATCTCAGCTGGATGAGCAGAATTTCAGGATAGAAGATTTCCACGCAGGTGGAGAAACAGCCTCGGAGAAAAACGTGTCAGTGAACAGAGCCAGGGGAATCTAATTAACAAAGTCATTAGAACCCGTACACTGCGAGACTGTTCTGCTATCTTTCAATCATTAACGTATATTTTATAAATGAATTTGGAGGGAGCAAAAAAATTTGCGATTAAAATTATTGTGCGCAAAGTTATAGATAAAGCAATATGCAAATATGCTAATGGCTTTTATCCACTTTACGTATTCGATCTGTTAATTATTAGATTGTTTTATATATCAACATCTTTTTTTTTATCTTTTGTAATAAGGTTTACACTTTTCTGGTAGAATAATATAGAATAATTTAAAGTAACTACACGCGTATAGTCGTCACGCTACATGCGCTTGTAAATACCGATCTTTAAGAATGATATCTGTTGCAAAAATATAATCTTGATAAAATGTTGAAAAGTTTTAACGATAATATATTTTGATAATATTTATTTTTTATTTTATATATTTTTGTTAAATTGTTCGCAGTGTAATACATTCAAGGGTGGGCGTTTGATATCGCGGTAGGTATTTTTATCGCAATAATTCATCAGCGTATTTACGAACGTGTTCGTATGATATCTCACTGCTACTGCGCTGCATGCTGGGCTCATCCTTCTCTGTCCTTAATCACGCGCTCGTCTCTTTTTTTTTCGCCTTTCGGTAGAGCAAAGTACACATCGCACACATCCCAGATTGCTTCGTACACATGTTGCAGCGATGACAAAAGAGCCGCGATTACGGGCGGCTTAACAGTTCTTTGATCGCGCATAGCGCCAATTGAAAACTTGTCTTCCCTTTATTCGCGCCGGACCCGAAGAGCTCCTCGAACGGGGCTCCATCGACGCTGATTGCGATTTTTCCGCGCGGTTCTAACCGCGACTTAATACCCCATATGGCGAGCAGGAGTAACATTAACAAGTGAGCAACGCGCGTATCTGCATCTACGCGGTCGGCAACTTTGCGCGTTTCACGAGTAGCTACGTTTTAATGGCCGGCACGTGAAATCTCCTTGATTTATCAAAGCTATTCTTCAGCTACCGACGAACGCGCGCACGCGCGCCCGCCGAGAGTCTTGCAACGAGACGCGAGCTTGACTTGCGATGCTCTTACGCCGCCGTGATTAATTAATCGCCATTAGTTAATCACTCCGTGCAAGTGCTGCGGTGGCTAACGAGAGTGCGGAAAAAAAGTTTGCGCGGAAGTTGCAACCTCGATAGAGAAAGATTTATAGAACGCACGGTTCTTTACAAAGAACATTTATGCAAATTGATTTGTAAAACATGAGAGAGAAGAGAGAAAAGACATCTGGTTTTTTTCCATAAATATAAAAATTTTTATTATCATTAAATATGTATGTTTCCTCACACAAAATCATTACAACTCGTTAA